CTCCTGATCATCCGCCTTTTCCTCTCTGAGTCTCCCATTTTCTCATCCGTGAAGTGGGAGCCATCTCTCCCCCAGAGGCTGGTGATGGTGGTTAAATCAGGATGTGGATGCAGCCCCTGGCACGTTGCCTAGGGCCTGCCCTGTGCTGCTGGTGCTGATAAAAGCGGCAGCTCCCTCTCCTCTCTGCTTTTAAAGACTGATGAGCACCTTCTGCCTCCAGGGCCACTGCGGGGTGCAGGGGAGGCTCAGCCATGCAGAAGTCCTGACATCACTGGAGGACTTGAGGAAGGTGGCTGAGAGGAGTAAATGCCTGAGGTCACCTGAAGGTCAGGCTTCACATGGTTATTACTCTTCTTGAAAAGACCTGACAGGCTGCAAGAGTTCAGAGGGTAAAACGCCTTGTCCAGGAATCCAAAGAACTCAAGTCCCAGAATTGGCTTTTGTTTGCCGAGTATCCTGGGCCCCTACCCTCTGACCTTAGGCTCCCCATCAATCGCATGAGGGTATTACAGCAATTCTGCAGTTTCTTGCGCTTCTTTTTTCATCTCCCAGAATTTTGTTCAAATGAAATCTTAGGAAATTAAAGTAAAAATAAATAAATAAATAAATAAAAAGGGAGCTCTCACGGATCCCATAAACCCCTGCTCCACCCTGCTTAGAACTGGGGACCACGCAGTTACAAGGTCCTTGTCCCATGCTCCAGTGCACCCAGGGCTACTCAGGAGCTGTGGGAGGAGGAAAGGATGTGAGTGACATCTGGCTCATCCCCGCTCCAGGACCCTCCTCCCGGACCCTCCTCCCATTGGGAGTAACCTACCTCTGAATGGCGTGGCCACATGCCCTCCCTCCGCCAGTACTGACTGGGAGAGCCCGGAGCTGGAGTGCGTGCCAGGGAAAGGCCCGGCCCACGGACGCAGGTCGAAAGGCCACGCACGGTGCTTGGCAAGTTACATGACCTGGCTAGGCCACCCGGCATCCCCGTTGTGTGGGAGGAGAGGTTCTGAAGCCAACATTTCATCAGTGGCTTCCTGGGAGAAGGTAGAGCTCTAAGTGGGCCTCAGGACCCCCAGAATTGGGATGGGGTGGTGAGGGGTGAGGGCATGAGAGCTTACTCGTGCAGGACCCCGAGCCCAAGCACTTGCTGAACTGAGAGGCCTGGGGCACCCCTAGGAGAATCAGGATTTGAACTCGGGTCAGAGGTCTTTCCTCCACAGCCCTGTGGGTTGGGGTGGGGGCCTGGAGAGTTACTTTTAGGCTGTTTCCAGCTCTCAGAGCTGATGTTCCAGTACTCATCAGGGGTTTGCTACATGGCCGAGTTCAAATCTGTTAGGATGAACACTGTTCTCAGAGAACAGATACATGCAGAGCCAGTTTTGCCCAAAAAGTTAATTTCAGAAGTGACAGGTTTGCTTTCTATAAATATTAGCACTGCGCCCTACTCTGGGCACCCTAGGTACCATTCTTAAGGAGTTCCCAGTGTGGTGGGTGGACAGCAGATGGGTATCGCCAACTGCTTGGAGCAGAAGCTGGAGACTGTAGAGCACACAGCGAGGGCAAAGGCCTGGAACAGCACGGGATGTCCTAGGAGGTAGCCCCATCCCCAGGGCTGGTGATGGGCGGCCGTGGTCCCAGATTCTGGACTCTCCCTTGCTCCTCCACCCCTATAAAAGGCTTCCACGAGAAAGCCGTGAGCTGTGGGGCTTGTACCCCTTCTTTAAGGCATCGCCAACGAGTCCATCAGCTTGGCACGTAAATATATACATGTTGAATGAATGGACTTCATCACTGCCTTTCAGTTCCAGCCACGGGACTGGTGGAGGCAGATGGTGCCATGGGGACTGACCATCCCTCCTTGATTCAGCGGACACCTGTCGAGTGAACCCTGCCGGCTCCATGATACAGAGCTTGACAGCAAAGCCTTAAGGGAAGGCACTCTTATCCCCATTTCTTATGTGAAGAAACTGAGACCCAGAGTCAGGGCTACCACATATCCCAACTCCAAGGTGAGGGAAGCAGCTCGAGGCCCTTCAGCCTGGGTCTCCTGATTCCAAGTCCTGTCGTGAGCACGCTGGGTGCAGTGGGGGCGAGAGGTGGTGGGTGCCGCTTGCCTACCCAGGAGCGGGGGCCATGCTCCTCCCCTGGATCTAGCATGCAGCCACACTGAGCACCCCGTTAGATCCGGCCTTGCAGGGCCCCCCCTTCTTCCCCCTGCACGTACTGTTCTGTCTACCTGGAATGCAGTCTTGCCACCGTTCCTCCACTGGCAGACTCCCTGCATGTCCTTCACGGCCCAACTCCAGTGTCACCTCCCAGGAACCCACCTTTGATTGATTGTCCCAGGCAAAATTACAAGTCTGTCCCTGCAGGGCTCCCGCAGTGCCCCAGTTGAAGCTCAGACCACACTAGCCTCCCCTTCCCAATGGACCTGATGCCTCTTCCTTGATGTCAGGACCGGGGCCCGGGGCACGAGTCACTAAGCCTTTTAGTAGTTCTTGATGCAGCAGCCTGCCTGGGTGGATGCGGATATAACCCAGCCGGTGGGTAGGCAGGTTTTCTAAAGCAGAGTTTGACCTTGACCTGCCAAGTGGCAAAGTCCAGCAGAGGGCTTTGTCCTTGGCTCCCAGCAGCCCCTGCTCTCAGAGGCACAGCTGCTCAGCAGGGCCCCAAGACTGACTTCAGAGGCCCAGAGACCCCTGGCACACCAGAGCCAGACTGGAGACAGGGCTGTAGTAATAGTACTGCCCCCCAGCAGAGCCCCTTCTGCGAGGGCACTCATCCAAGGGCACGATTTTTACCAGATCCGCGTATCATCTGTATCATTTTTCACTTCTATTTTTATTTAAATTGCTGTGTTCTGGATAATATGAAACCACAGGGCTTGTAAAAAATATTTTGAATAGGTGATACATGCATGTGGTTCAAAATTCAAAAACGTACAAAGGGATATAAAATGAAAATTCTCCCTTCTACCCTGCCTCTGCCACCCAGATCCCCAAGGTACAGTTACCTTTCTTGTGCATTCTTTTAAGGAAGCAGATGTGTATATTCTCCCCCATCCTAGCCTTTTTTTTTCCCACACACACAAAAGGTAGCATACAACACACTGTTCTGAAGCTTTGCTTTTTACTTAATATAACTTGGGGAGTATGCCAAATCAGTACCTAAAGAGCTTTCTTTGTTAAGTACTCCATTATATAGCTATGCCACATTTTTTCAAATCATAGGTTTGCATTGCTAGTTTTATATTTATTTGAGTGTGTACTAGAATAATATATACCTTGTATACCATTAGTATCAGACGATGGCCAACCTCAAGGCCAACCCTGAGCTGTGACACCTGTGACTCACCAGGCAGAAAGCTCCCACATGGGGGTTCAACAGCCGCCGTCGTGCCGTCCTTGTGACCTCCTCTTACTTAATCCCAGTGGTCACCGGAGGAGTTGGGCTTGGCCGGGGCCCACCACAGGAGGCCTGTCAGGTGCTCACCACCCACTCGGAACCAACAGCCTTGGGTCTGAAGGCTCCCTAAGGAGTTGGGAGGGAGGCTCTGAGGGGTGCTGGGCAGGGTGGGCCGTGACAGACAGGATTTACAGGGAGTGCAGCCCACTGGGAGGAAAGCCCCAGCGTCTAGGATGAATGTCCAGAGTTTGGCCAGGAAGGAGCCCATGGGAAGGAAGCTCTCCCTTGACAAGGAATGGGCTCTGAACTCCTGCTGGCTGAAACCTTCCTCTTGGCCTCTGACGCGAGAACCTTAGCTTTCGCAATCGTTGGCCTGACGGCTTCTAGAGAATGAAAAGACCATACTAGGAATGTGTCTGATTAACAGCTAAACCCAGTGCTATCTGTGAGGATCTCGAAGTCAGGGCGGCTTCTGGGTTCCGGGGGAGTGCGGGGGAGACCAAGGCCATCGCCAAGCTGAGGCTCTCCCCTCCACAGGTAGGTGCGGCTCAGGATCTGTGCCTCCACCCCTCCCCTCCAGTGCCCAGCCCCGTGTGGTGCACCTGGTGAATGCCCGCCTGTCATTTCTTTGGCATCCCTCCCCCCGGGCCCCGTTTCTTTGGTCAGTTAAGGGCCTGCCTTAACCGTCATACATCTTGGCTTCTTCATTTTAAAAGAAAACAAAAGTCCTCTCCCTAGCAAGGCACCTTGCTCTCCCCGGGCCCTCCTGCCTGCTGGCCTCCTCCCTGCCTGCTGCCTCCGGCCCTTGGCTTTCAGGTGACAGGATCCCAGTGCCCTTTTTCTGCCCCAGCCCTTTGCCCATTGGAAACACCTTGACCCAGCACTCTTACTCACCTTGTGTCGTGTACTTTTCCAAAGCACATTCCTGGCTGGTATGTCATCTGTGTCCTAACAACCCTGGGAAGCTCGTGGTCTGGGGATGGTTGTCCCGAGCTTCAGCCTGGCTCTCTGCAGACCCCTGAGTAAGCTGGAACTTGTCTCTGCCTCAGTATGTACTCTGTGAATGGAGGCAAGGGTTTGCAGACAAGCAAACAGACCATCCGGGAGGAGTGGAGAAGGGGACTCACCTGCTGGATTTCACAGAGCAAGGAGGCAAGTGGGCTGGAATTAGAAGCCAGCGTCTTGGGCTCCAAATCCAGGGCACTTCGCCCATCCATGCCGCTCCTCCCATGTAATTGGGCCCCCCTTGCCTTGGTTCCTGGGCCTCCCAGCCAGAGAGTCTGGAGCCACCTCCAGCCCAGGCATGGCTTCAACAGGGGAATGAGACCCCGGAGAATGCCAAGCCCTGGCTACAGAGAGGGGTAAGACCCTAATTACCCTCTCTCCCTGGGAATGAGTCTGGCCAGCCCGGTGTCTAGAAGTTGGCAGGGCTGGTTTGGGCACCTGAGGTCAGGAAGTGGCCAGGTTTCTTCAGAGAAGGGCTGGTGTGGTGCCAGGAGTCAGGCAAGCTATCTGAACAACGGAACCTGCCAGCCCAGGCCCTGCCCTCTAGTAACCTGGGCCTGACGTACCTCTAACAGTGTGGGGTTTTCTCTCTGCAGAAGCTGACGGGCCGCCTCATGCTGGCTGTGGGAGGGGCAGTGCTCGGCTCCCTGCAGTTTGGCTACAACACTGGAGTCATCAATGCCCCCCAGAAGGTGAGTGCTGTGCCGTCCTAGGCTTCTCGAGACCAGAGGGCTCTGCTGTGCACCCCTGCCCCCATCTGACACACACACAGACACACACACACACACACACACACACACACACACATGCGCGCGCGCGCGCGCTCACCCTGCCTCTTGGACGTTGGAGTCATTTACATCAACTCACCATCTGCCTTACCAGCCAATATTCTGGCCCTGAATGGGTTAGAGACTCTTAGCTTTGGCCTTGGAACCTTGGGGCCCACAGAACCACGGGATCTTTATAGGTCATCTTTTTTTTTTTTTTTTTGTGGCACCGTGAGCCGCTCTGCGGCATGTGGGATCTTCCCGGACTGGGGCACGAACCCGTGTCCCCTGCATTGGAAGGCGGACTCTCAACCACTGCGCCACCAGGGAAGCCCTTTATAGGTCATCTTGACCAACCTCCCACCCGACATAGACATTTGTAAAAATTGAAGCCATATTTGGTGTAGTGATGCTGCATTCGTGCGGCCCTCTGGGGCTACAGAGAGCTTCCGTGGTGCTTTTCTCACCTGCTCACACCGAACCCTAAGGCAGGCAGGCAGCCGTGCCCACTCCTACCCTGCAGGTGTGGGGAATGGCCAGAACCTGCCCAGCATGACCAGCTAGTCAGGGATGGAGCTGGTATACGACACCAGTCTGCCTTGGCGCCCTCCCTGCCAGGTGGTCCCCAAGCCCGTGCTCTCACCCATCCACACGCAGCACACTCCCTTGTAAGGGAGCCCGTTCTAGGCTGAAACTGCCTATCTCCCTGGAGGCCCTGGGCCAGGCAAAGCAAAAACGGCGTCTTGGCCTAGGGAACTGGAGGGGTGCAAGTGTGCGCTTATTCCCTTCTCCCCACAGCTCAACCCAGATCTGTCCTCACGTGCTCGACAGAGTGTCGGGACTGGGGGCGCCCCGGTGAGGGCCTCCAGCGCAGCCAGCCCACTGCTCTGGGGAGGAGAGCAGAGGGTGGGGGCAGGGAAGGAGACTAACGCGCCCCTCCTCTGTGCCAGGCCTGTTGTGTACATTCATAAGGCCGGGCGGTGAGTTCCATTTTATACACCCGAAAACCGAGGCCCAGGGCAGGTGAAATGACCAATGGGCTCAAGGTCACATAGCTAGGGGATGGTGGAGTCAGAAGCCAAACTCTGTTGTTTACACAACCTCAGGCTGTCTTCCGGACCAGCCACCTGGTCAGTTTAAAAGTCTCTCTAGGGCTTCCCCGGTGGCGCAGTGGTTGAGAGTCCGCCTGCGAATGCAGGGGACACGGGTTCGTGCCCCGGTCCGGGAAGACCCCACGTGCCCCGGAGCGGCGGGGCCCGTGAGCCATGGCCGCCGAGCCTGCGCGTCCGGAGCCTGTGCTCCGCAACGGGAGAGGCCACAACAGTGAGAGGCCCGCATAACGCAAGGAAAAAAAAAAAAAAAAAAAAAAAAAAAAAAAAAAAAAAAAAAAAAAAAAAAAAAAAAAAAAAAAAAAAAAAAAAAAAAAAAAAAGTCTCTCTACCTTCCGGGCAGGACAAAATGAGAGTGGACCGTCCTGTCAAGGCCACATTCATGGTCCAAACAGGTGAGGCCAGGAAGTGAGTGTGGCTGCTTCCTGAGGATTGGGGCCTGTTTGGGGGAGCTGGGCCTCCTTCAAATAGGCGGAGGGTGGCCGTGGGGGCTACGCCCGTTGCTGGGGAGCAGGTCACCAGAGCGGCCAGGCCTGCTGAGTCATGCTCAGCTGCAGCAGACGTTGACGGGGCTTTTCCAAGCTTGTGGGAAATGGTGACCGTGGGCCCATGCTTGAAACAGTTCCAAGCCCTGCTTTTGCTAAGTGCTCTGAGTAGATCTTGCCAAGGTGTGTGCCTCGGAGCTGGCTCCCTTTGGGAATCCTTACAGATGCAAAGTGTGTACAGTCTTAGAGAGAGGTTGAGTTCTCCACTTGATTGCACATCAGTAAGTGTCCCCTGACACTTACAGAATCTGACCTCATTGGTCTGGGATGCTGTCTGGGCATCAAATTTTTAAAGCTCCCCAATTGATTCTAATGTGCAGTCAAAAGATGAGAAGCACTGGATTAAGTGATCACAGTCAGGGGTGATCACGTGACTGTGATCACATAGTGAGTTACGCACGGTGACAGAAGTAGGACTCTAAGAACAGGATAGAGGTGTTTTCCAGAAACAGAACAGGGTTGTGGTAAGCAGGGGCCCACAGGTGGGGATAAAATGCCCAGAGGAAAGAAAGTCTGTGTGTCACTAGGGTAAATGGGATGAGGGAAAAGGATGGGAGGGTGACGAGGTAAGCCAGAAGCGCCCACAAAGGGCTCTTGTGGTCGGTAGTTTCATCTGCAGAATCTTCAGCCACTGGCAGGGCATGGCACAGCGAGAATGGGCACGTGGGCACCAATGCGTAGGCCGAGCTGGGGAGTGTGGACTTCAGAACTCCACTGAAGAGGATAGATAGGATCAGATTTGCATTTGAGGGAAATGATTCAGGCGTCTGGTGCAGTGGGATGGGTCTCAGAATGTGAAACTAGAGACAGGGAAATAGTGAGAAGGCTGCTGTTGTAATAGGGGTAGAAAAACCAACACTGAGTAGGAAGAATGGGCAGGAGCTGGTCGTCAGTTCAGCCTGAGGATGAGAGAGTGGGGTTTAAAACTGGCTTCTAGATTTCTGGTTTGGGCAATGTGGGTCTGGAGGCAGAGCAGGGAGGTGCCGCGGGACATGCAGGAACTGAGGTTTGGTGACACAGCGGACAAGCACTTGGACACGGGGGTCTGTTTCTTTGGAGGGTAGTCAGTGGGAGAAGACCGATAGGTTGGTCACCGGTATCCACAGTGATAGGGAAGGATCTCCCAGAGGGACTGCAGAGTAAAAAGAGAAGGGTCAAGCCCTGGAGAGCGCACCCGCTGACAGGAGATCCTGTCAGGAGGAGAGCTGGCACCTCTACGCCAGGAGACAAGACCCTTCTGAGCCAGAGGAAGAATGGAAGCGCCGGAGGATGAGCGTCCATGGCCATGTCCTTCGTCCCTAGAGCAGTGCCCGGGCACTCGGATGTGGACAGAGTGAAGGGATGCTATCTGGTGCTCCGGAGGCTGACCTGGGCAGATCAGCTCCATATCGCCAAAGGCAAAAGACCCTCCGGTGACCCTGCCGTGGCAAAGGCTGTCCATGTGGAGTCCTGTGGGTAGAGACCTCCCTGGGTTGAACAGAGAGAAGGGGGATGGGGGAGAGCAGAGACAGCCCTTCCAAGGGACTCGGTAGAAAAGGAAGAAAGAAGGGTGGTCGCCAGAGGGGCTGTCTGGCTAAGGTTTTTTTTAATACGAAGACTTCAGTTTTAAACGGCTTGTAAGGAATCAGCAGAGGAGGAGAGGGTGAAGATAAGGAGGCGGGGGTGGTCCTTCAGGAGGCCAGTGGTGGTGGAGCAGAGGCAAAGGGGTTGCATTTGGCCGGAAGGGACTAAGACACTTCCAAGGGTGCAGATGTGGACAAATCCAGAGTGATGTTCTCTAATTTTGGGGACTTACCATCTAATCAGAAACAGGTGAAAGGTGAGAATTACAGCGGAAGGTGGGTGGGGCAGCGGGCAGGGGGTCTGGGCAGCACAGAGGGCCCAGCGGTAAACATTTATAGGAGCATTTGCGGGCACCTGTCCAAAGGTCACTTGCAGCCGGCCTCTGAGGACTGAGGTGAGAGGCCTGCGTGGCGTTTCCGGGGGCGTGTGCTCAGGCACTCCTCCGCCTGTTTACTCTTGTACTTTACAGACATTTCTCATAAGCCTGGCCGTCGTTTTCCCAGCCCAGAGCAGACGTGATAAACTTAACATGTGAAGAGGGCAGAGGACAACACTAGAGGGAGAGATGAAAGCGGGGCTCAGAGCCGACGGCCGTGCCTCAGGAGGCACCACAGCCATTGTCCTGGGAGGGCCCAGTGATGGTGCCAACACCGTCACTCAACGTGGACTATGCCAGGCACTGCCCTAGATGGGGGGAGGGACAGAGCCGAGAACACCGCAGGCTCACCCTGGCCCTCAGGGAGCTGCCTGACACATGGTCAGAGCTGGGCCCTGTCCCTGCCCTCCAAAGATTCAACCATCAGAGTGCAGGGGCTGGGTGGGGAGGGGAGACCCCTTGGGAAAAGCCGCAGTATTATTAACGGAGGGCTTCTCGGTGCTATGGGAAGGAAGAGAAAGGAATGACTGATGCTGGGGGTAGGGCTGATGGCAGAGACAGAAAGGGCCTCATGAAGGAGTTAGCAGCTGTGCTAGACCTTGAGGGCAAATCGGCCCCAGAGGGAAGGAGGGGCGGGTATCCCAGGCAATAGGAACCGCTTGTGCAGAGATGCGGTGGCATGAAGTGTTCCACTGATGGGGAATTGCTAACGGCCCGCGCTGACCAGGCCGACCCCCCTTGTCTGTCTAGAGGCACTTCCCTTAGGAAACTGCACTGTGCTGGCCAGGTTGGCCTACTTGCCCATGGAGACTTTGCCCCACTGGAGGTGAGGGTGCCAGTACTGCTGTTAATTACCAGAATCTTGGTCTCCTCCATAAAACAGGCCCCAAAGGGCTTCCTCTTGGAAGTGGTTAATTAATCATAACATTATCTTAAATGTTTACAAAGCACCTCCTAATAAGTTACCTCCTCACAGCAGCCCCACAAGGTGGGTGGGGCCGGGCTTATCTTCCCCTCATAAAGGAGGCACCGAGGCTGGGAGAGGTCACCTGGAGAGTGAGAGGCTGAGTTACAGATGGACGCCAGGCCTCATGCCTGATGACGACATCCCTGCCAGGCCTCCGGCCTCTGCAGGGTAGGAGGGGAGCCCAGCCACATAGAGAGCAGATAGATGAGCAAAGGGCATCCTGACCATCATACTGAGTGGAGAGATCTACCTCTCCCCTCCCCAAATGGCTGAGCTGCCAACAGAGGTGACTGAGGGCCACTGAGGAACCATGAGTTCCTGGCCAAGGGACAGTGTCAGGCATGTCTGAGGCATCCTCAGAAACC